GGGGGGGGGGGGGGGGGGGGGGGGTTGTTTGTTTCTTTCTTTCTTTGAATGGTCTATACTTTCCTGTTTCTGTCTTCTGATTCTAGTTGAAAACTGCACATGTGAATTTAACAATGTGGTAACTCTGGAAATCAAATTCTCCCACTTCCCCAGGGTTTGCTGTTTGTTTTTGTTTTCATTCTTATAGTTGTAGGCTGTCCCTGTGCTGAGAATCAGCCTGAAGTATAAACGTAAACTCTTTTCGGAGCCTGTACCTTCCCCTAGGCATGTTCAGTGACTTCCTAATTTCCCCAGTATATGAGGTTACTTTTGAATATCATAGTCTTCAATGTCTGACTCCCAAAAAGGGAAAAAGAGAAAAATAAAGGGGGAAAAAAAGTACCAACCCTTTAAACCCCAGGAAGTCACTCAGCCAGAGGGGGAAGGGCTTGCAACAGTGGGAGGAGGTGCAATAATGGCTGCCCACCTCTTTGCAAGTGTGTGATCAGAAGTAGCAATTAGCTATCAAAGCACAAATCCCTGATACTTGGAGGATACCGTCCTTTTTTGTTCACCCTGGCTTCCCACAAACTGTGTGCAATCTGCTCCAAACAGCTGCCTGCCACAGGGCTAGGGGGTATGGGATAGGTAGCTGCTACTATGCTAAGAGCTGAAATTTACTGAAATGAACCACAATTACCATCCAAGTTTTTCCCTGTCCTGTACATTGCAAGCTTTCAATAGACTCCAGAGTTCCAAAATAGTTGCATCAGACAAATTCTGCTAATGCAATTGTTGCCTAAGTGGGGAGACATATTTCTGGTTCTCCTACTCTATCATCTTCCCAGAATCCTCAAACCTTGCCTTTAATACTTAATAAGTTATTAGGCTTGAGGTATCACTTCAAAATTTATGTTTAATCAGATGTTAACTCAAAAAAAAGAATCTTTCTAACTTCATTATCTTTAAACTCTAATCAGCCACATCTACACATAGGCATCACCATCTTTCAGCCTGGACAGAAGCCAAGTGATGTTTGCCCGGGGCAGGTAGAAGATGCAGGTGATGCCTGTGTTGAGGGACATAAGTAAGACAACAATGTTTTCTGAATCTAAAATTAATACACATGACCTAACAAAAGATTTGAGGATGATTATATGAAAAATCTTATATATATAAATTAAATTAAATTATGAATATAATGAACTGTCTTTGCTAAAAAAAAAAAAAAGAGAAAAATCTAATCAGTACTGTCCCCAGAAAATTAAGCCATATGGTCCCCCACATATATGTTGAAAGAAGAACAGAGCAAGGATGGCATTGACCATCAAACAATTCCCAACTTTCATTCTTTGCATGTTTTGATCATGACAACATCTCAATAAATGTCCTACAATAAGATTAGTACATTTTTCTTTACATTTCATATAAATATCAACAGTGGTCTCACCTGTCAACATCTTACAAGGACACACTTCACAAGTTTCATAATCAAATTTTAAAAATCACATGTAATAAAAATAAATCACAATAGTAAAAAAAATAAAAGAACACAAGTATACTGTAGAAAATACAAAAACGTAATTTATTTATTTACCAAATGGTTAGCTATAAAGATACAATTTTGCCTTGGAGTTTAAGGCAGTTTCATTTTTGCCACAGTTACTTTTTCTGATTATATTCCAAAATTAGCACATTCCATGTTTTATCTGTGCATTATAAATATAATGAACTGTCTTTGCTAAAAAAAAAAAAGAGAAAAATCTAATCAGTACTGTCCCCAGAAAATTAAGCCATATGGTCCCCCACATATATGTTGAAAGAACAGAGCAAGGATGGCATTGACCATCAAACAAACAATTCCCAACTTTCATTCTTTGCATGTTTTGATCATGACAACATCTCAATAAATCCTACAATAAGATTAGTACATTTTTCTTTACATTTCATATAAATATCAACAGTGGTCTCANTTTGCCACAGTTACTTTTTCTGATTATATTCCAAAATTAGCACATTCCATGTTTTATCTGTGTTTAATTGATCATTTACATTTTATATCCTTGTTCACTTGGGAACCATATTTTTTTCTAAATGATCATTGAAGCTCTGTAATATAAAATATCATTGTCTTCATATATTTGAGTAATACCGATCACGGTTTTGAAAGTCTTTATGAGAATATCTTGCATAAGTCTTGTTATGTGGGATCCTTCCAAAAGGTTCATGGTCATTGAAACAAGATTCAAAAACTTCATCAACAGCCTTCTGAGCTACTTCTTTACTGATATTCCTAACAGCCAGGATAGAAAGAATGGCTCTGTCTCGCACACAAGTCTAAGGAGAAAGAAATATATGTGGCTTTAATTCCATATGAAAAGTTAGTCATTAAGTAACAGCATTTTATATAATGTCTGAAACACAATTAAAATTAATTTCCTCTCATATTATTTTATTAATTTCTGTCTTTCCAAATAAGAAAACAAAATTAACAAAGAAATGTAACTCCTAAATTATACAGCATGTTTAGCTCAATCTAAAATTATTTAGGTTGGGCTGGCCAGTTAGCTTAGTTGGTTAGAGCACAGTGTTGATAACACTAAGGTCAAGGGCTCAGTACCAGCCAGCTGCCAAAAAAATAAAAAATAAAAAAATAAAATTATTTAGGCATAAGTAAGACTTTCTCTAGTTTCTCATCTTTACCAATAATATAAGCACGTCATTCTCTGAAGAAGTAGGCAGTGTCTGCCAAACAATAACTCC